TAATAGTAAGTCTCTGAATGGATATTTGGGAAATGGCTGGGAGAAGAGAGCCGATCGTGGTCCTGATGGAAAGTCTGACTACACAGTAGCTGTATCAGAGAGTAAAAATGTCAGCTTTGTGAGTCATACAATATATCACCCAAACGCAGTAACACAGTTTCAGAAAACAGTTGATAAAAAAGTTCAAAACATTGAAATGAGGATGTGGCTGAGATCCAATAAAACTTTATTTATGGAATCAAGTGGTAAGCTGGACTTGAAATGGAGGCCACAGTTTGCTAACCTCTCATCTATACCAGCACTACCCAAGGGAAACAAAATGTAAACCATACATGTGATTTAAGATTTAGTAACCACATTAACGTGTGTTGTGATTTGGATATAAGTGGTTGCAAAGGTGTGTATGTTAGGTTTGGCTGTGAGCTTTTGGGAATTGATAGTAACCCAACCATGGATTCACCATTTGATGCTACTATCAGGAGGTGGGGAATGGCTGGAGGAAGCAACTCCTAGCTATGCCCTGGGTAAGTCTATCTTGTTGCCTTCCTGTCTCACCCCTCTGCTTTCTGGCTACCATGAGCTGTGAAGTCTGAGGGTCCCACCATGATGTCCTGCCTCCCTGCAGTGTGACAGCAAGAGACAGATGATCTTAGACAGAAGCCTCTGAACCTGTGGGCCAAATCAACCTTTCTAAGGGTTTTTTTTTTTTTTTTTTTTTTTTTAAGTTTTGTTCTGTTTTTGGTTTTCCAAGACAGGATTTCTCTGTGTAATCTTGACTGTCCTGGAACTCTCTATAGACCAGGCTGGTTTTGAACTTATTAAGACCTACCTGTGCTGTGGGACGGCCCATCTGTATGCTGTGAATGTGTGTTGCTCTCATTGGTTGATAACAAAACTGTTTTGGCCTATGGCAAGGCAGCATAAGGTTAGGCGGAAAAACCAAACTAAGGAGGGGAAGAAAGGTGGAGTCAGGGCAGATGGGAGCCAGCTGCCCAAGGAGTAAGATATCAGAGAACCAGTAAGCCACAGGCCATGTGGCAATGCATAGATTAATAGAAATGGGTGAATTTAAATGTAAGACCTAGTTAGTAATAAGCCTGAGCCACCGGCTAAGCATTTATACTTAATATAAGTTTCTGTGTGTTTACTTGGGACCAGAAGGTTAAGACAGAGAAACTCTCTGTCAGGAATTTGGGTACATGTGGGACAAAAAGCTCCACCTCTGATTACATATGGCGTCCAATGCGGGGCAACTCCAGTTACATAAAATCTCTCTCATGTGGGCCAAGGTACAGAGATGTATACCCTGGCTGGTGGGGTGCATGCTTGAGCTACAACGTGGCAGATTCCTGCCATGGTACACAGAGGTGTTTCCCAGCTGTGGAGTGCACTGCAGGGCAGGTTTAGTTTTTGCTCATACAGACAAAAAGGGTTAAAGATACACAGTAAGAACAGATTCAGATGAAAAAAAGCTCTAAATGGGTTACAATGTGTTTAAAAATATACATAGGCTTGGGAAAGAGAGAATAAAAAGGGTAGAAACAATTATAGAGTTAAAAAAATTTAAAAATAAGGAAATAGAGTAATAAAAAATATAAGCCATGTAAAGATGAAAATAGTCTGGATTCTATATTTTAATATGCTGTCTTTATATTTTTTGACTGTTAATGAGCAAATAATAACTACTAAGAGACCTTGGATTATGGAAACTGTTATATTAAACCAACCTATATATTTTAAAAATACTTTGACTCCAAAATTTAAGTAAAAAGATATGTTCCTTTGTGGGGAGAAGTTGTGGTTTTATTTCCACAGGAAATGAGAGGCTATGGATTCATTCTGGGTTAAGAAAAATCAGACCCCCTGAAATCCTAACTACAAACATGGGAAAATAAATCTAAATTAAATACAAGATACATAACATATATTTTACCTGCTCAAACATAAAACAAAAAATTATCTTTGGCTGACTTGTGTACAATGCACAGTTTATACTTGTATTAATACAGATATGTATATTACCTTTAAAAGTTTATATATTTTCAGAACAAGGGGACCAGACACCAATAAAAACGGATGATTCAGGTGATCCAGCATCCAAAACAACTTCAAGGCTGCTGACTGAGATGATCCAGCCCCAAGGAATTCTCCAGCCAAGACTTAACAATTATCCTAAATATCTCAGAATCCCCAAAAGGTTACCAGTGCCCCCAATCAGCAGGAAGTAGTCTAGAGAACTATGTCCACATTCCCAAAAAAATAATTATAGATGTTTGTCCTTGTTTAAAGGGTTGGTTATAAATTGTTATTGGTCATAGTCAATCTCTTTCTAAAGAAGAAAGGGGAATATGATAAATAATGATGGGGAAAAGGGTAGATTATTATGATAAAAGAGTAGATTATCGAATCAACAGTTAATCTCAAAATATTTTACATTGGTATGGATTTTAGTTTACTGATACATATTTAGAGTCATTTTTTATTATACTGTATGTATATTTCTACTCTTGTTTAAGATATCATGCTTAAGCAGCTCATTTAAAAATGTAATGTGCCGCCGGGCGGTGGTGGCGCACGCCTTTAATCCCAGCACTCGGGAGGCAGAGGCAGGCGGATCTCTGTGAGTTCGAGGCCAGCCTGGTCTACAGCGTGAGATCCAGGAAAGGCGCAAAGCTACACAGAGAAACCCTGTCTCGAAAAACCAAAAAAAAAAAAAAAAAAAAAAAAAAAAAAAAAAAAAAAAAAAAAAAAAAAATGTAATGTGCCGGGCGGTGGTGGCGCACGCCTTTAATCCCAGCACTCGGGAGGCAGAGCCAGGCGGATCTCTGTGAGTTCGAGGCCAGCCTGGGCTACCAAGTGAGTTCCAGGAAAAAGGCGCAAAGCTACACAGAGAAACCCTGTCTCGAAAAACCAAAAAAAAAAAAAAAAAAAAAATGTAATGTATAATTAAAAATACAGATTACTAGTTATTTGTAATAGTCAAACTTACAGTCATGTTAGCTAGGTTTTCTAGGTATACAGAGATATATTTCAGATAGATAGGTAATCTTCAAACACTTCAAAGACCTACAGAATATATTTAAAATTTTTTAATAACTTAAAGACTTTTTCTTGACAGTGAGACCTGTCTGCTCCTGGCAGCATCAATTACTTCAAAGAAGATGATGGGCACTGAAGAAACTCCATATGGAGTTTGTTTTCTTTATGGCTAAAGCTAGCCATGGGGGCAAAGAAACAGCCGTTGCCTCAATTACTGACAGTTACTGTCCAAACTGTACCAGAAGAGTACAAGAAAGGCAACTGCCAAACTTTGCCAAGACAAGGTAGGACAGTCCTTCAACACTTCCTGCTTCTAAAAAAGGTCTGTCAGATATGCTAGGCCTGTAGGCCAGAATGGAATGCCCCAACATTGCAGAGGAACACTGGGTGACTGTCCAGGCAGTGAGACGTCCCTGTCATTAGGTAACAATGCATCCTTCTGGAGTCTTTGATGGAGTTGAAACTACTAGTTATAGTTATAATCATAGTTTTCCTTAGTTATGATAAAAGGTAAATTAAATATAAAACTTTAGACTCATTAAGATAGATAATTGAGTATTTTCTCACACAAATAGACTAGATATTGTAACTATAATTCTTGCTGGATAACTGTTTTGTTACATGTAATTTTACTATGTTAAAGTTAAAACCTTCATTTTTTGATTAGACAGAAAGGGAGAAATGCTGTGGGATGGTCCTTCTGTAAGCTGTGAATGTGTGTTGCTCTCATTGGTTGATAATAAAGCTGTTTAGGCCTATGGCAAGGCAGGATAAGGATAGGCAGAAAACCAAACAAGGAGGGGAAGAAGGGCAGAGTCAAGGAAGATGGGAGCCAGCTGCCCAAGGAGCAAAATGCCAAAGAACTGTTAAGCCACAGGCCATGTAGCAATGCATAGATTAATAGAAATGGGTGAATGTTGAGATAGTTAGTAGTAAGTCTGAGCCACGGGCCAAGCATTTATACTTAATGTAAGTTTCTGTGTGTTTATTTGGGACCGGGAGGTTGAGACAGAGAAACTCTCTGTCAGGAATTTGGGTACAGGTGGGACAAAAAGCTCCACCTTCGACTACTTGCCTGCCTCTGCCTCCTGCTGGGATTAAATGTGTGTGCTACCACTGCCCGAGTTGTTTTTTTAGAGGTATTCTGCCACAGCAATGAAAAGCTAACACAAAGTGAAAATGACTTTATCATGGCTTATTTAATTCAATATAGCCCAAATATTTTAACAGTCAATATATAAAACCTTTGAGATACTGTCCATTTCTTTTCATATTAAATCTTTGCAACTGTTTTTTACACTTTGTGCACGAGTCCCAACTCTAGTGCTCAGTAGTGACATGACTATGGCTGTCATGTGGGACCCTGTGATCTGGACCTAGGTCCCCCATGCTGTGATCTCTACAACTAACTTGTCAACGCAGTATTGAGACTTGGTCCTTGAAAAGTAAAAGACAGGACCACGTCAACCTACAGAGCACAGGACAAGGGGGTATAGCTATCAAGGAGAGTGTTTTGGTTTTCATCGCCTCTAGCTGGGAAGGCCTGGTATTCTAGGGCACAAACTATACTGTAGTTAGGTGAAGGACCCCTGGCCTCTGCAATTAATCTGATGTCAAAAGATTATTTGGTGATAGACCACAAAAGGATCAAAGTATGAGCCCAAGCTTGTAATCACTGGCCTTCAGCAGAGTTCTAACTACAAAAGATCAGTACTGAAAGCATTTCTGTGTCTGACGCCAAAGATAAAGAACTGTTTAACAAGGAAGAAGGCCCAGGGCCTTTAAGTGATGCTTGTGAAATGTAGCAACTACAAGCCAGTGATAGCTCAGGGAGTTGACAGAGCTGATTAGTAAACCCCAAGCACCTCTTGGGGAGCTGTCAATGATTTAAACACAAGTTTCTAAATCAATAAACCCAAGACAAGAATGGATGTGTGCTGTTAATGAAACTTAGAAACAGGTGTTTTTAACAAAAAAATTTATTACCAAAATACAATATTTAAGTCAATACATGACAAACTCCTGTAAAGCAAAATAAATTATTCTAATTTTGCACAGTCCTTCTGAAGGTAAGGAAGTGCCTGGTGGCCGGCTGCACTCTTCTGCACAGGTGGCTTTAAGGCTTGCAGCTCCATGTGCAACATAACATGACCAAATGCCAATCGTCCAGTTTTAATGACAGTGTCAGAAATCAACTGTTGCTTTTTTACATCATATTCCAGAAGTTTCTCTACTTTGGCTACAGAAGCAAAGCCATAGTGTTACACAATACTTATTTCTTTAAAAAAATACAGATCCTTATGCTCATGAATGTCAAACTCAAGTTTCTATTAAATATATTTATAGACTATTACTTTGAGCACCTTGCTGTACAATTAAAAAAAAGATTAAATAAGTGTTTATGAAACTAGAAACAGAAGTCTGCTCATCTTTTGTCAAGCCAAGTGCGCTGGGGAGGTGTGATGTAAACATGATGCTCACGTTTGCTTTGTGAGGAAAAAAGCAGAACACGTACAAAGCCATCAATGGTTACAACAGGACTGAAAGGTCCAGGGCGAAAGGTCCAGGGCAAAAGCTTCAGGTGGTATTGCTGCTTGATGTGCTCTAGACACAGAAAAATAGAGTAAGCATGTGGCTGACAGGTCAGTGGGGGCACCTGCCAGATTCCTATGGTCACAGCAAGATGATAAAGCCCTAAAATAATAGTTATAAAGATCACAACCATCACCTCTCCATCTCATGTTTACTGAGTCCAGTAAATGTCTTTAAAGCAGAATTCCCCGTCCAATCATAGAACTGCAGGTGGTCAGTGCAGAAAATAGACAACAAGATTCCCATGCCAAAGCGTACAGCAGTAGTCAGTACACTCCTGTGGCCAGTGACCCTGACTGTGTCTCCCCCAACAATGACAACCACACACGCATGCTTCTGTTATTATGAAACTTGCATCTTGGTAGAGAATGGTTAAGGCTTGCTGCAAATGTTAGCAGGGTGTGCAGTGTACCAGGCACTCTGTCCCTCGTCCAGGCCAAAGAGCTTGTAGGAACAGATGACAGTGTGGAGGCTTTGAACCCTTGGGTTAATTTTCCCCCATGGGGTGGAGGAAATTTTAAACTCATGATCACAATCATGTAAAGATTGGGAAGCATCATTTTAAGAGCCATACTGCTGGAATGATAGGATGTTTTGGGTATTTACTATTTTTTAAACAAGTCTAGAAAATTAAAGCCACAGAAAATTCACTGAAGGCTGTTTAGACTAAAGCACAATGAAGAATAGATCTAGTGTGTGTAACAGCAGTGGGTGATAAAAATGGAAACATGGAAATTATTTGCATTTGGCATTAAATATAAATGTTTTAATTGTGAAAATATGAGAAAATTTATTTAAATCCACAGAGTGAATTTAGGGGAATCTAATTAGTATCAATGAATTCATTTTTTTTTTTATTAAAATCCATGTATCAGGAATGAATTAACTTTCACAAATAAATAAAGCCTACCTTGGCCAGGTGTGGTGGCACTTGTCTTTAATCCCAGCACTTGGGAAGCTGAGGCAAGTGGATCTCTTGAGTTCAAGGCCAGCCTGGTCTTCATAGTGAGTTCCAAGTCAGTCAAGGCTACACAGAAAGGCCCTGTTTAAAACAATGACAACAAAAAAGGCTACCTAAAATCAAATGGAAGAGTGACAAAGTTTTATCCACATTTCTCTAGTGTCATCAAAATGAGTGGGGGAACAAGATACAGCAAATCACAATGTTTCCACATACTGGCCCCTGCAACAGTTCTCAGTGCCCTGGAAAAGCCAGGAACTCATTTCCTGGTCACTTGAACTTTGGGAACAAATGCTGTAAAAATCTTGTCAACACAAATGGACCCTTTCCTTCCAGGAGCTGCCCCTCACTTCTGAGTGTGTAAACAATACCAACATTAACAGCAATGCAGAATCTGCTTTAATGCAACAGTATGTAAGTGATCAGAAATACAAAAAATGGCAACACCCTGTTTGCCTCAGCCTCCGAAATAATGACATGAAACATGTGACTAATGAGGTCACTTCTGCATGGTGTAAACTTTAGCACAAATGTGCTGCGAGTTTTCAGTATGTCTTGCATGCTAACAATGGACTCTTTTAGAAATAGACTATAGTCACTTGCCAATGGTGTTTCTGACAAGAAATTGCTTTTGTTTGGTTTTCTTGTGGCGAGATGTACATTAGAGAAGAGTTCAACTGCTGAGCCACATCCTCAAGTCTCCAAAATTCTGTTCCTTACAGACTTTATTTTTTATGAGTGTTTTGCCTGAATGTATGACTGTATACCACATGCATACCTGGTACCTGAGGGTGGCCAGAGGGTACCAGATCCCCCCGAACTAGAATTACAGATGGTTGTGAGCTTACTGGGAATCAAACCTGGATCCTGTAGAAGAGCAGCCAGTCTCTTAACTGCTAAGCCATCTTTCTAGTCCTTTTTGCAATTATTATTTTGTTTAGTTTTTTGAGGCAGGATCTCACTTTGATGCCTTGGCTAGCCTGGAACTTGCTATTTGACCAGGTTAGCCTCAACCTCAGAACCCAGCTGTCTCAAGTTTTACTGTCCTTCAGTCATTCTGTATTGTTCTGTTACATGTAACTACACCACTAAACTCTAAGAAGGAAAAGCTCAACAGCTGACTTTCAGCTCTTATTCTCCAAGTGATCTCTTTTTTAACCCCAGGTGTGGATTAGAGCCTGTCCTCCACACCCGGCCTCCCCAAAGCATTTCTATGGCCCGGTGACGCAGACTGTCTTGGTCCTCTGTTGCTTGAGGAGGTGGTCAGGTAACTGCTGCTGCTGGTGGAGGAGTGGGCTCACTTGTGTTCACATTGCAGAGAACCTCTTTGAAGCCACCCATTTCTGTGAACCTGAGATTTGGTTGAATCTTGTGGGGAGTCACTGTAAATTTGAAACAATAATTTACTTCCCAAATGTGATCTGTGATCCCTCTTCCGTCTTTTTTAGGGAGTAAAGGACCATCCCCTACACCAAGTCTGTGATAAATTCTTATTCACAAAGGAAACGATTTATAAAGCCTATTCCACAGCCCGCTGCCCACTGGAGACAGAGGGAACCACCCTCTCCCATTTGCCACTTTCCCTAGCAGAGCCCTGGCCATTGTAGAGCTGGCAAGTGTGGCTCTGCAGGTCCTTCTCAATTCATTTGCTCGCACCTCATTGTGAGCCATGTTAAGCTTTTAATAATCAACACTTGACACTAAGAAGGGCTGACAGAGGCTCACACAGGGTCACAGCTCTATTTCCCCACTCAAGCACTCAAATACCAGTCACAACACCTGCTTCCCTGTGTCTAGTGAGCTAGTGATGGCACTAAGGTTGACCAGCAGTTCGGAGGGTCCCTCCCACATGCTCCCAGCTAGTTGGTGTTCAGGGCTGTGCTGTGGTCCTTGTTCAGGATGATGCTGACAATCTCTCCCTCATGTTCTTTCATGTGATCCAGGAGGCTTTCCTTGCTGGTTGACTCGAAGCCACAGATGCAGCAGCAGAAGAGCAGCACGCAGTACTCAGTGCCTGGTGCAGCCAAGCTGCAGCTCCTTCCTGAGATGTCAGAGTTGCTGCCTGTGGGGCTCAGTTTCTCAAGCTCGCTGGCATCTAGGACTTCACTGGGCAGCTGGGAAGTCAGCTCTGAGGATGACACCAAGTCTTCTGGACTGCCTGTGGTAGGGTCAGCTCTCTCTCCACTGCTGGTTAAGAATGTTTTCCCAGGGGATTTGCCCAGAACTCTTATAAAAACAGAACATAGCAAACTTTCAGTGGGTTGTGCTGTAGACTAGGAGATGACTCCTAGCCTTGCTCTGTAGCTAGCAATCAGTGAGGGCTGGGATGGCATACCTGCTGCTTTGTGAGATTGCATCATTGATGGCCTTGTTAACTTGCTCATAGTTGTAGTTCTGGTCACTCGCGTGCTTCCACATGTGTGACTTCAAGGAAGGGGGGTGGCTGCACACGTACCCACATAAGGAGCACCTGGAAGACAGGTTCCAGGGAAGTTACAATCACCTCACAACACTACTGAAAATTCACGATGGTTTTATGTGAGAGCCACCTTTCCTGGATAAGTGTTTCTCTTCACAGCAAATGGGGACCACCAGAGAAAACCACAACTGGACACATTTACATCACAGCTCCTGTACCTATGGCTCAGGGAACATCACTGAAGAGAAGGAAAAAAGACTGTAAGAGCCAGAATCGCAGGAAGTCTGCTGTAAAACAGTCTCTCTGAGAAATGGCTGCATAAACAAGACTGGAACAAAGGCAATATCAATGGTCTAGTTTACATTGAAGGGGAGAATTCCACAGGACCCCACGCCTAGACAAAGAACTACAGGCAACTAATGGCTGCCGAGAGGGAGAGTTAGCCTCTCCCAGCAATGAGCCTCCTTATACTAGTTGTCCAATGCAGGATGGTCAGGCCTGTAATCACACACACGAACAAAAACAGGTTCAGTAAGTTGTATCTATCTATGCTTGTGAATATATATACATGTAACAATGATCATCAAAGAAAACAGGCTATCAAGTTGAATGTTGGAGGACATGGGAGAGGTGTGAGGGAGGATGTTTGGGAGAGACTAAAGGGAAGAAAGGCAGGAGGGAAAGTGATGTTATGCTATTTGAATAAAAAACATTAAAAGCACATTTTAAAAACTCACAATGGTTTTAACTGTAACCCCCTAAGTGTTCTCAGTTGAACCACCATTCACAGAACTTAAATTTTCACTGGTCCTAAGGCACACACAGACTTCACAGGGTACTAGAAAGAAGTATAAACAACAAGAAACAAAAACAAGGGAAAGAGATGTTTTATAATATGAGGTTTTCTAGGAATCTAAATAAACATCGCATTTTACTTTAGTGAAAACACATGATGTGGAAAGATTTCTAACATAGTAAAGCACAAAATTTTTGTTCTAAATTCTTCACCCACAGGTCTAATGATTTATTTCACTGTTTATCAAGAAAGTGAAATGTGGACCTGGGGCTGGAGAGATGCTCAGCAGTTAGGAGCTCTGGCTGCTCTTGTGGAGGATCCAGAATGGATTCCCAGCACCCACATGGTGGCTCCCAACCATTGTTAACACCAGCTCCAGGGGACCCAATGCCCATTTCTGACCTTCATGGGCACTGCATACATGTGGGTCACATAAAATAAATACATCTAGAGAGAAAGCTGAGTTGGAGAGATGGTTCAGTCAGTAAAGTGCCTTCCACAAATAAGTGAGCTACCACATGGGTGCTGGGAATAGAACCCTGGTCCTCTGGAAGCGCAACCAGTGCTTTTAAATGCTGACCCATCTTTCCAGCCCCAAATTCTGTTGTAAGTAAATCTGAGTATCTTGCATTAGTGTGATCTGTTACAACTCCGCAGTTTAAGTTGTGCTCACAGTTTGTCTAATTCTGCTTAGAATTAGAAACACACAGCTTTGTGCATCCTATTGCAGTGTCTTGCTGAGGAGCTCCACTGTCCTCACAGTCCTCTGTGCTCTGCCTATTCACCTTGACTCCTGGCAACCACCAACCCACCCTGTTTTCAGAGACAGGGTCTCTAACTGGTCTGGAACTCACCAAGCATGCTGGGCTACTGGCCAGCTACTAGCCCCAGGAAGCCAGCAGTCTCTGCGCCCGCCCAGCACTGGAATTAACAAGCACTACCATGTCTTTTCAGGTCTTCCTTCTGTGAGTTCTGGACCTGTGATGCAGATCACCATGCTTGCTCAGGAGCACTCTACTGATTGAGAAATCTCACTAGCTTGCTTCTAGCTTTTGCTACTATTAATAAAGCATCTGTATGCATGTTTTCTGGGGAATAAGAGTTTTTATTTTGTAGGAAAACACCTAAGTGTATAATTTCCAGCTTATATTGTACAAGTATGATCTTTTTGGACGCTATAAATGTGCTCAATCACAAGCCTAACAAAGCTCTCAACTCTTCCCCATACCCATGAGAAAGGGCTGGCAAACAGTTAACTCTTATCCTAACCGATTCCAACTTACTTTTAAGACAGCAAGTGGCACTTTTTCATTACATATCCTAAGGACCACTGACCTTGAGAAACACTAGCCCACTTGCCAGCAATAAAAACCTAATATATTCTCCCTGTGTAGTCTGGGCTGCCTTTGAAATTAGCCTCCTGCTTCAGCCTGAATTTAGGATCACAACATATGTCACCACACCTGACAAGGCTAAGGCAACTCTTTTCCCCAACAAAACTTTTATGTACATGGATGTTATGTCTGCATGTACATCTGTGCACTATATGCATGTAGTGTCCTCACAGGGAAGAAGGGGGTAATGGAGCTCCTGGAACTGGAGTTATAGGTGGTTGTGAGCTGCCATGTGGTACTGGGAGCTGAACCTGGGTCCTCTGGAAGAGCAGCTAGTGCTCATAACCCCTGAGCCTTCTCTCCAGCCCCATGACTAGGCAATTCTTAACAGAACTTCCAAAAACTAGAAACCTGAAAGGAAGCTGAAGCTCACTAATAATCCAAGAAATCCAGCAGAGTCATATGAGATAAAAGACAGTGTGCTTATGACGTAGTGCAGAAGAGTCTCCATGATGTGGAGAGATGGAAATGCACCAGTTGTATGTAAGGGTGAACAAAATGAAGAGCATTTGCACACAGCATCCTGGGATTTTCCCTACAGGCTCTCTAGCACATGTTCACAGTGTTCACTATGGCTGTGAACAGCAAAAAGGATGTAGCTTACAACTACTGCTTTCCCACCAGAACACAGAAACAAACTGGTTTATTTTTACATACTGGAACATGATAGAGGAACACCACCAACCAACCAAAAACTGTATTTATTCCTCACAAACCAATGTCAACATTGGTCCATAAAAAGGAAAACCAGCAAGAAAGGTTTTTAGTACATTTAAAAATATTCCTTGTAAAATGTATTTTATTTGTTTTATGTATGAGTGTGTGCTTGCTTGTGTGGAAGTCAGAAGACAACTTTTGGGAGTTAGCTCTTTCCTCCCTTAAGTGTATATATGTACAAATATATACACATAGTAATGCAAGCCTATAAACCCAGCAACTCGGGAGGCTGAGGCAGGAGAACTGTAAGTTTAAGGTTACACAGTAAGACCCCATACAGAAAAACAAAACAAAACAAAAGCCAAAAAACCCAAAGAAAGAAAAAGAAAAGATTCTCATAATTATACATACGAAGATAAGTTTAAAACATGACTTATGTGCAGAGTGTGACTTGAACCAATGGAAAAGCCTATCATGTAAAACTGTTAATATTTTCTAAATCAATTTAGAAGTTTAACATGATCTTAACGTAACAGAGTAATTTAAGAGAAAACCAGAAAGGCTGATTACAAAACTCATGTGTATCTATAAACTATTCATTCCAAATGGTAAGAAATAGCTACTAAACAGAAACATTTAATTCTTGTTTTTGTTTTAAATTGCACTCTCTTATTGTGTGATCTGTGTTCAAGACTGTAGGCCAGACAACAGCTTCCAGGAGCCAGTCCTCTCCCCTTCCCTATGGGTTCCAGGAACTGAACTCAGGTCATTGGGCTTGGCTGCAAGTGCCTTTACCCACTGAGTCGTCTCGCTGGCCCCGAACTCTACTTCTTAACTACCCATCCTCCTGCAAAATTTGTTTAATTTTCATATTCAGCTAAAGAAATGTTTTATTTTGAAACTCATCATGGGAAAGTATGAATGCAATTCACAAAATGATAAAAACAGCAGGTAATCCCTGCTGAAGAATAACACCACCACACCCTGGGAGGGAGCCTTGTCTCCCAGATCTCAAGCCTGTCTTCCCCAAAAGAGACATCAATTTTCCGATGTTTTTATTCTATCACTTGCTTTACTTCTTGGTTTTATACCCATGCACCCCTCCATCCTATCTGATGCATCACTCTGTGGCCCACTCCTTGGGCTTTTGCTGCCTCTGACATTCATCCACATGGATGGTGTGTAGCTTATTCAGCTTACGAGGTGCCTGCTTGATTTTTACTCTTGCAGTTCGGAATTTCTTTGAAAGAAACTGCAGATGTAAAACTTCTAAGGTGGACGTTAACCTGTACCCAGAGCTACAATAATCTGTTCTGAGTGTTTTCTCACTAAAATCATGTATTTCAATGGGTGGGACATTCGACCCTAGGGAAGTTACTCCACCAGCACTGTCGAGCTGTTTTGTTCTCTGTTATGTCAAGTACCATAATAGATACCTAAATAAAAAATTCGTAAAAAAATCAAACATGTCCCCCACCATTCTTTTGGGGAGTCTATTTCCTCCTGTAATTCATGAGAAGAAAAAAAGGGAAAACTCCACCTCTACACCTAAGACACAGGACCCCTGAGACTGTGTGTGGGCCCCGTCTTCTTGGCATCCCTCACCTTTCCTGAAGTGTGGAGCATAGTACTTAAAATAAAATTTTTTAAATGATTTACTTATTTTATATGCATGGGTGTTTTGCCTGTATATATGTCTGTGCGTCATGTGTGTACTTGATGCCTGTGGAGGTCAGAAGAGAGTCTCACACTTTCTGGAACTGGAGTTACAGACAATTCTGTGGTGATGGGAATCAACTTGGGTCCTCTGGGAGAGCAGTCAGTGCTCTTACCCACTGAGGTATCGCTCCAGCCTGGGGCATAGCACTCTGAAAGCACTTTCAGCATTTATAGTGTCAGGGATAAACCAGGAATGATGACATAGATGCTTTTTAAATTAATAGATACTTATGTAGGGAGGGAATCACGTTATTTTAAATATAAATGTCCAAATAACTTTTGGAGGTCTGTGAAGGACAAACACATTGAAAGAGTTTTGGGGGAAGAGGCATGGTGGTGCATGCCTTTAATCCCAGCACTCGAGAGGGAGAGGCAGGTGGATCTCTGTGAGTTCGAGCCTAGCCTGGTCTACAGAGTGAATTCCAGGACATCCAGGGCTACACAGAGAAACCCTGTCTTGAAGAAACAAAACAAACAAACAGAAC